AAATGTTTGCGTGCCCAAGGCTTTAATACACCCTACAGAATATTTTCGCTATAATATTCGCATTTATTCTGATGCCACGGTCGATTAACACGAGCGGGGAGCGACCATCGGCTGTTATGGCGGCCAACACCATCACCATGGCCGGCGCTTGAGTTCTGGTGGCCAACCGAAGGTGCACAAGCAAATTCGCCAGTTCACCACTTTCGGCCAAGCGAAGCAACTCTTTAGCCCTTTTGAGTCTCCTTTCTTTCTGTTGCGGTGTAAGTTCTTGCACTTTTTGGAATTTCAATGGCTTTATCCCGAGCTCATTCTTCAATGTTTGCCGAATAGAATATTGCGATATGTTCAGCTCACGAGCCATTTTTCGGTGACTGTGACGCGGGTTTTGATCAAGTTGCTTCTTTACTTTTCGAACCATTTCTGTTGTATCACGGTAATCCGCTACCAGTATCACGGTAATGAGCGATGGTACGAGACACAAAAGATTTATTCAGATTTAAATTCTGGAGTGCTTTAACGTTAGCTACTTGTGGTTTTCCAGCCAAATGTAGAGAAATCACACTATCACGCTTGAATTCCATTACGAATAACTTTTGTAGTCGAAAATTTTCACCAAAATTCTTTTGTACGTTGGTAAACAATATAATGAGCTGTCACCGGAATAATTTTAACAGCTGTGGGACGAATGGCTTAGAAATAACAGCAGTAGTTTGTTCATCTCACTCTGTATGTAATGGGAATTATTTTTTTGGTAAGCAATTGTCCAACTAGATTCCATGTTAATTTTTTTTTTAATTAATTTTAATGTTTATGTACATTAATGAGTCTAGCTGATCTTTGACAGAAGCTGCTACTTATTTGTAAATATGTATTTGTATAAATATAAGTATATTGTAATATTATGTTTTCATGAATTCATTTAAACTTTCTTCTGAAATTATTTATGTGTTGTTTTGCTTGAGTGGTGTTTAATGTTATGTTATGTTATTCGGTTTTAATTATGTAGGTTTCTTTAGAGTGTTGATTGATTTCATAAATTAATTACACATACATTTATTTTTATTTATAAATATATGAATACACGTATGATGCTTGATAAATTAAAGAAAAAAAAAACAGAGAGAAGCAGTTATGTTCTGAATAAAAATAAAATACGTTTACTAATGGTTTTTTTTTTGATTGAAAGTTGCATTGATTATTCGAATATCATTCCAATGATAGTTACTTAAATCATTTAAACACCACTTAAAATAAATTAAACAATAAAATATAACACAATTCATAAAAAATGCCAATGGCTTCACATAGATAATTTAATTGCAGAGTAATTGTTTTAAATAGATACACATAATGTTTGTTGTAGAACGTCGAGTAAAATATTGTAATTTAAGACGAAAAAAATGCAGACCTTTACTTCATAGCTCAAATTTCGCAGGATAATAAGGATCTAAATGTGGCGAACTCATATGAAACAAGTGAAAAACTTGTAAGTTCGGCCAGGCCGAACTTTGAATATCCTCCACCATTTGGAACGAATTTGGCAATTTTCAAAAACTATAAAATCCGTTAAAAATTCTGTTAACATCTTAAAAATGTAGAATGTTGTTGCGTTCATCCCCATTATAATTTGCAATTTAATGCACCGAACGTGCTGGACGCCAGCCAAAAATGTAAAATGGATACGCAGGGCGGCCGACTAAATTTTAAAAAGTGATGCCAAGTTTCAAGTTGTTTATTGTACAACATGAGAGACGTGTGGCAAAAATACAACTCTGGGGATAATAGTTGGTAGGTAGAACACCTGATAAAGGTAAATAATAAATGTCAGGGAAATTGTGGGAAAATCTTGGAAAAGAGGGAAAGTTTGGTTAAGCGTCCTTGGTGGCCGTATATAAAGCACAGAGAAGGCTAAAAGCACCATTATTTCAAAGTGGTGTGGAACAATGTATCTGTTTTATTAGGGTCTATAGGATGAAATACACCTGCATAGGTAATATTTGTCATAAGCCATCACAATATTCAAATGCGAAACTTAAAAAAAAAATCGATAACAATGTAACTAAAATCATTAAAATACCGAATATCGGGATGTACCGTTATATGGGGGCTATACTAAGACGTGGACCGGCACAGACAATTTTCTGTCTTCGGCTGTAGTATCTAATACGAACTTCAAATACCAAATTTGAAACGATTCATTCACCGGAATTGAATTGAAGTATCGCTAAAATCATCAAAATACCGAAAATCGGGAGGTACCGTTATATGGGGGCTATACGAAGACGGGGACCTGCACAGACATTTTTTTGTAATAGGCTGTAGTATCCATTACGAACTTCAAATACCATATTTGAAACAATTCCGGTGAATAATGTCGCTAAAATCATCCATATACCAAATATCGGGAAACATTTTTATATAGGGGCTATACGAAGACGTGGCACAGATAATTTTCTGTCATAGGATGTAGCATCCATTGCTTACATCAAATACCAATTTTGAAAGAATTCCGGTGAATAATTACGCTAAGATCATCAAAATACCGAATATTGGGAGGTACCGTTATATGGTGGCTATACGAGAACTGAACGGTACCTTCCGATATTCGGTATTTTCATGATTTCAGTGACATTATTTATTGGAATTATTTCAAATTTCGTATTTAAAGTTCGTAATGGATGTTACAACCTATGATAAAAATTTAGTATGCAGGTCCACGTCTTCGTATAGTCCCCATGTAGCGGTTTTCAATTAAGTGGTAGCTTTCCGATTTTTTTTGAACATTTTCAAGTTCCTTTCAAATGGTTGGGGGTATTAAAAGTTCGGCCCGGCCGAACTTAGCTTCTATTTTACTTGTTTATGTTATATTGTGGGTAAATTAAAAGTTTGGCCTACATGTTTTATAGCAGGGTACATTTATGGAAAACCATACAATTTAGGTGCTTCGGCAGAGTAACATAACAAATAGTTTAAACTCCTCTGTTTATTATAAGTTTGATTGGGCCAGAATTTATGTAACACAACGAAATATTGGTTTCCCTCATAGGAAAGTATATATGGATCTTCCTATCTCGCCGAGCTGAGTCGATCTAGCTATGTATGTTCGTCCGTACGTCTGTCCATGTTAATTTGTAATCACGCTACAGGTCGCAATTATGCCCCGATCCTAACGAAATTTTGCACGAAGGTGGGGTTAGGGTCAGTTGGAGATGATCGCCAAATGTTTAGGGGTTGAAATGGACCAAATACTGAAAAAATGTCGGATTTTGCAGTAGCAATTATAGACCAATCGACGCGGAATTTCGCATGTAGCTAGAGTTTAGGGCTGGGAAGAAGCCTACTAATTTGGGTAGTCATCGGATAATATTTAGCGGGTAAAATAGACCATATCTTTTGTGTTGAAAAAATTCAACATTTTTCTAATTTTTCTAAATTGTTCATTAAACCGCGAATATTTTAAATCCCGGCGAAATCACAAAGCCATGACAAGGTTACTTCTGATCTTTACATTGATGTTAACATCCAACAAATCGGATATATAGCAAAATATGTGCGATATATATGTCCTTCAAAGAAGATATGCTTGAATGATCTCTTACATGTCGAGAACGGCTGAACTGATTTCGACAGTTCTCATTAATTCAGAATGGCCTCTTGGCAGGAAAGAAACAACGTCTAAAAAATCGCATAAAAATATCTCTCTAAAGATGAAAATGTTGATTTTGTAAAATTTTCTCATATTTTTTCAATTTTGTCATATTTTTGGCATATTTCCATTTTGAATTAAACATTTGGTAATATTTCTACAGCTAACAAAACTAAGTAGTTAGGATATCATATACAGATCGCATTTGTGGCCCGATCCTTACGAAATTTTGCATGGGGAAAAGATGAGGGTCAGAATAGAAGCCTACTCTTTTTGGAGATGATCGCCATATATTTAGCGGTTGAAATGGACCAAAAAACTGCAAAATTGTCAGCAGGTCGTAATTATCGCCTGATCCTCACGCACATTTGAATGGGGGTTACCGGACATTGCAAAAGCCAAGCAGTTTTGGATGGCCATTCAAAAATATTCAATGTGTGAAATAGTTTGCCAACTTTTGTAGACAAAAATGAAAATGAAAATTTTTGGAGAATTCACAAATACAGGAAAGACACACTTCTGACTATTTCGATAACACTGATTTCGTTGAAGAATATAGTCAAATGTATGTATCGCATATAGATGCGTTTCAGTCAAAAACCAATAATAAATGTTGATCTTTTGCCACTTCTGAGAGATTATAGGTCTTTGGGAAATATTGGTTCCAGATCTAGGAAGACTATTTACGTGCAACATCTTCCAATAAATTGGAAATGAGCAAATTAGTTTAAGTTGCTATTATTCGAAAATAAGAGAACGAACCCTGATGGTTTTCTTTTATTATTTGTCACAATATCTTGTGGAATCCTTATAGTGTTGTAGGGTATTCAACGGTCGAGCCCGCTCGACTGTAGCCTTTGTTTACTTGTTTTGAAATATAATTGTTTTTGTACAAGTTTGTTTTTAATTTTCTGCAGTTACATTTACGATGACACCAGGTTTCTGCCTCATGACAACTTCTTTGAATCGAAATCATCACATTCAGGACTCCTTTATACAGAATTGCTTTAGCTAATACAAATTTAATTTTTTCTTTCGTCTCAATTTCCCTTCGACATTCTGCAACAAACTCACAGTTTTTTATGTATTCTAATTTATATTTGGTTTTTTAATATTAGTTTTATTTGAAATACATATATTTTGTATAATATTATTAATATTTTAAAAGAAAATTGTGAAAGAAACCCAAAACACTTATTTGATATGATATTGAATTATGGGAATAAGGAAACAAACTCAAGAAAATACACACACAAATAAGAGTACAAAAACAAATGTGAAAAAAGTTTGTGAATAGATAAAAGTTTTTCGCTTTTTGACAAATTTTTGTTAAAGTAAAAAACGCTGAATATACCTGAGTGACTCTCAGCTCGGCCTGGGTACGCCTGAGTTCGGCTGCCGCTTTGTCGGCCCGCTCTGTGGCCCGTTCCAGTTCTTGGGAAGTGGTTAGTGTTGTGCGGCCAAACGTTGTCTGCTTAATTGTGGACATTTTTATTAGTTGTTGGTTTTCGGTGATGTTGTTGTTGTTGTTGTTGTTGTTGGATTAGATGATGATTGTAAAGTAAATATTGGTAAAAATAACATTATTCAGTACACAATTTAAAACATGTAATTTGTTGGTATTTTTGCAATAATCCAGTTAAGTGAAAAAAGCGAAATAAATCCAGCAGGAAAACAAAACTTTATTAGAAAATTTATGCAGATGACTGGTGATTATTATGGTGATGCTTTAAAAAAGATGATTATGCTGATGATAACACGTCGAATTTGATGATTGATTAGTTATTAGTTGATGGATGTATGAGTGATGATGTTGATGAAAGCGAGTTTGCTATGGGACCAATTAGTTTATTCACCAAGGAACGCCTGCCTTATCCAATTGAAAAATCATGCCAAACTCGCCGCTCTGTTTTTTTTTTTGAATTGTTGATAACAATATTCAGGTGTTGTTGTAAAATGTCATGTGCTACATACATATGTTAATTGATCTCTACTCGATTAGATTTATTTTATATATATTTTTTTGCTTTCTAAATGAACGAACATTCGAATATGTATGCATGTAATTTGTTGCAAGAAGTTCTTTAGGTATGTATGTAGTTGCGTGTGAGTTTGAGAAAAGTTTGAAGTATTTATTTTGTCTATTTTTTTGTGGCATTGTTGTGATTGATGAACATGTTGGAAGTTTGTTTTTTTTTTTGGTTTTTGTTTGCAGAAAAAAAAAAACAAAACAAATGATAAGAAATTTAGCATTTTCTTTTTATGCGCATATTTTTTTTGTAACAAAACAACTATAGCAATCGCCTCTATATTTCTACAAGCAGCCACTTACCGATGATATTTGTCCAGATTCATACATTAATTTTTGTACCGACTGGAATTAGTGTTTGATATTTGTAAAATGTTATTAAGTTTCAGTAATATCAGATAACTCATGATGATAGTAGTATGATTGATGTTGACGGTTTTATTGTAATACAGTTAAGAGCAAAATTTTGAAAAAGAAAAAAAAAGTTTTTGCTGATTTCTTTTGAATTTTTTTTTTTTTCGTTTGAAGAATGTCCAGAGTTATTCAAAGAAAATTGGTTAAATACGAATATAATTTTTTTATTAAGTCTTTCACCATTAGAATAGATTCTTTCGATTACAAGACCTCCTCAAAATATTTTTTAGCAATTCAACTCTTTCAAGTTTTCTTACTTTTTGGTTTAACTTAATTTTATGAGGTTTTGGCCTTCGGAAAGAATGGATTTTCGGATATGCAACATTGCACTGCCTGTACCGCGCAATACAAGGTGGCACAAAAGTCCTCCTATCAGAAAATGCTACTAATTTTACGATTGGCTCCTAATGTCAGTTCTGTTTTGCAATTGTTGTAGTAAACACATGCGAAATACGTATTAATAAACAATGTTACGCTACACTGCTCCAAAACGCGAAATACAGGATGAGATGAAAAAACTGCAACCAACTTCAGACTGCTGCCATTTCTAAGCCACTCGTCTGACAATTATTCCAGTGACAGCTCATTATATTTTTTACAAGCGTACAAAAGCATTTTGGTGAGAATTTTCCAGAACAAAAGTTATTCGTGATGGAATTCAAGCGTGTGGCTGGAAAACCACAAGTGGCTATCGCTATCGAACACTCTAGCATTTAAATGTGAATAAATCTTTTGTGTCTTGCACCATCGTGTCTAGTTACCGTGATACTGGTAGCGTAGCCCGACGCCAAGGAAGTAGACGGAAGAAAACAGCAACATAAACAGAAAATGTTCGAAAAGTAAAGAAGCGACTTGTTCGAAACCCACATAAACAGAAAATGTTCGAAAAGTAAAGAAGCGACTTGTTCGAAACCCACGTCGCAGTGGCCAAAAAATAGCTTGTGAGCTGAATATATCGCAATATTTTATTCGGAAAATATTGACAAATGAGCTCAGGGTAAAGCCATTGAAATTTCAAATAGTGCTAGCAACAGAAAGATAATAGACTCAAATGAGCTAAAGAGTTGCTTCGCTTGGTCGAAAGTGTTAAACAGCCGAATTTGGTTTTCTCCGATGAGAAAACATTCGTTGCCCAGCAGTTTGTAAACAAACAAAATGATCGTGTTTACAGCCAAAGAGGTCAGCAGGAAATGTGCACTTTCGGTAGGTCATCAGAATTCAAGCGCCGGCCATGGTGGCATCAGAATAAATGCCGAATATTATATTTATTATTATATTATCAGAATAAATGCCGAATATTATCGCGAATATATTCTGGAGGGTGTACAGGGTTGTCCATATTCGACGGACCTTTGGACCCATTCCAATCTACGAGGCTTGTCCGCAGGCAACATTCTTTGCGTCAATTGAATTTTGTACGGGAACAAATGCAAATCAATGCGAATAATCCGTTGTAAAGTGGACCGAGTCATGCCCAACTGCTGAGAACGGCGTTTTTGGGATGTTCTTGGGGACCTCTCAACACTGGCTAGTACGGCACCGATATTCTCGGCCGATCGCCTTGGTCGACTTTTATGTGGCCTCTTCGGATTAGAAAGAGCCTTACCATTCGAAAATCTTTCGTATAAACGCTTAATGGTGTTCTTAGAAGGCGCACTTCTCACATTTTTTAATGTTTTAAAAGCACGTTGAGTTGTCACAATTGACTTCTTGTAAATTTCAACTATTTCAGAGCGCTCGCGTGGCGTGTATTGGTTCATGGTAAAAATCTGCTTGAACTGACGCTTCAAACGCGGTACGCCATTAAGCGATGTGACATCTCTGTCAAAAGTTATGGCGTTGCCAGATGGGTCCGTCTAATATGGGCAACCCTGTATTAAAGCCTTGAGGTTCCTCGCTTCATTTCCAGCGCACAATGGCGACCAAAATCTCCGGATACCAATCCGTAAGACTATTGTGTCTGAAGTCTTTTGAAAAGCAAGGTTGGCACTAAAAAATACCAAAGTGTCGATCACTTCAAGCAAGCGCATCGCCGGGAATGGGCCAAAATACCGCAGAGCAACATTCGGACAGCGTGTGACGGTTTCATTGGCCGTTTGAAGGACATAATTCGTGCCAAAGTTTCTAAACTTATTCTCGAACAAATCTAATCTACAAATCAATTCGAACACATCTAAACTTATTCTCAAATTTGATGCTATTTCCGACATCTTTTATTATAAAATATAAAAAAAATGTGGCGTTTGATTTTGTTGCATTTTTTTTATCTCACCCTGTACAAGGTGGCGCAAAAGTAATCCTCCTATCAGAAAATGCTACACATTTTACAATTGGCACCTTGTTTCAGTTCTGTTTTGACATTGTTGTAGTAAACACATGTAAAATACATGTTAATAAACAATATTACGATACACTGCTTCAAAATGCGGAATATATTTAATTGACCAATAATCGGTCGGTGACTTTGGCACAACGTGAATTTCGTCGCAGATTTCCTGGCCGTCCAACGCCTACTGCTGAAACACTGCGACTTTAGCCGCTCGCCTCGAAGAGCCTGGCACAATAAAAGAAGCTTCCGGGCGTGGTAGACCCCGGACTATCCGTTCTGCACAGAAAATTGCTGCTGTTGCCGAGGATGTCAAGGAAGCGCTGTCGACATCGATCAAACGACGCGCTACGCAAATGGATATCAGTCAACCGAAATTTGGCACAAGTTCAGATGGTGCATCAGCTGTTAGCTGCTGACGCCAACCACGTCTAACACACGCTGAAGCCATCCTTAATCACCACAAAGAAGAAGATGATTTTTCATCAAAAATAATCTTAGGGAGTACGTAAATAAACAAATTGACGCTTCTGGGGCTCTGAAAATCCGCGTATAAACCAAGAAGAGCCATTACACCCACTCAAAGTCACTGTCAGTTTTCGCTGAAAGTTTTCGAAGACATCGCGGCCAAAGGGTTACTACAAAGCAATGATCAACGAGATCTTTTTGCCGCAACTTGATGAGTTGGGATTGAAAAACATGTGGTTCCAATTCGACAGTGCAACCACACACACTGCACGTGACACACTCGATATGTTGAATGATGCATTTCCCGAGCGCCTAATCTTCCGTTTTGGCCAGCAAGATCGCCTGATTTGACCGCTCCGGAATTCTTTTTGTGGATCTATGTCAACAAGCCCCAGACTCTTTCAGCTCTTAAAGACAATATCCGTCAAGAATGTGAGGACCTATAGCCGGAAGTTTCGCCAAAGTGATGGAAAATGGCATAAAAAGGGCTCAAATGACAATAAACTGTGGCGGCGGCCATTTACATGACATGATATTCTCGACTTAATGCAAAAAAAAAAAAAAAAAAAATATATATGTCCAAATAAAAATAATCCACAAGAAGAATTAAAGTTTTTATTTTTTTTTTTAATTACAGCCAAAAAACATGGGAAGATTACTTCTGCGCCACCTTGTACATGGTCCGCAATAAACCATTTTTAAACTAGTGCTTATTTCGTGAAAGGTAGCACTTTGTTCATATCTGATTTTAAATATAATTAGTTTGATCCTTCCGCTAAAAGAATATGGTTGTACATACGCTTGAATAACGCTAGAAAATGGAGTGCAAAAATGGCGTTCGGATTTTGAAAGAAGATATGCACCGTCAGTATGTAGACACATAAAAACGACACGAAAAAATTGAAAAGCCGATGCACCCAAAACGAGTCAGTGTTTGGTGCGGATTTTGTTTCGCATTTTTTTATAACTTTAGCTGGATTTGATCCCGTACAAAGTAAATCATCAGCTGAGTCAAAAAGAGACTTCAGCACAGAAGACTGTGATGGTGGTGAAGATCTTATATGTGAAATCTTCGGGCAGAAGCGGTGAGGCCATAAGTCCAAATTCCCAGGAGGACGAATCGGTGAAATAGCCGCCACTAACGAAGAAAGGAACAATGTACAGGAGTTGGGCACACGATGAGAAAGTATTAAAAATTCTTTTTTATGACACCAGCTGCTTCTGTCTAGACAGACACAAATTGTCTCAGCAACTGCCAAATGTGCAATTTAAGGCATCCCATGTTAATGTCCCTGAACGAGGCTTTAGTGATGGAAATTGGCGATGCTTTGAATCATGAACGGGGGACAGTTTAAGATGTGAAAAAGGATGTAGACAGTTCAAACGTGGCTTTAGCTACAAAAATAGCCGTGTCTTATAAATTTGCCCAGTTATTAGAAGAAGTTCCGTGAAATGGCGGAACTACGGGCAACAAACGTAAAGCAACGAGACTTAAAGAAATTTCGGAACTACGAGCAACGAACATAAAACTTGAATGTTGCCTGAAGTTTGCTGTAGACACTCATGTTGGCCTTAGAGAAAGGGATGCAGTTGTTGAACGCCTTGGTTAAACAACACCTAAAGTTAAAGGATGATGAGAATGAAAGCTAACGCCGTGTCCTACAAAATCAGATGCAGGAACTCAAGTCGAAATTGGTGGCTGCTGAGATGAGATCGCATGTACCACATGGTAAAATCCTTGGAGAAGGAAGTTAAACTACTTTTGCAGGGTTTAGCTTCTTCGGAGAAAGTCCTTAGAGTAGCTGAAACAGAACGTGAAGAGTTCACTGTGAAATTAGTAAAAAATTCCAGCAAAGACGAAAAAGTTGTAGAGGAAGATCGCATACAACGCTGGAAGAATAAGGTATTCAGGGTCCGTAAGATGAAGCTGCCTCTTGAAGAGGATACAGTCGGGAGGTGGTGGGACCTTTAAGAGAGATCGGCTAGAAAGATGGAGGAACTATTTGGGTGTTATTACTTAGACAGTTTTCTCTTATATTTAGATATAGTTTAGATAGTTTGCGGTAGAAATCTCTGGGTCACACCATAATGAGCAATGAAAAAGTCCAATAAGCTAAAGATCCTTTCCAATAGTCCT